CTACACTTGCAAGCACCCTCTCTCTCAAGCCATGAGGTTTCTGTATCCTCTGTGGATACTGGCAGCGGACAATGGTTTCAGCAGTCCTTACGGGATGACTTACTTAGAGTGGCTACAAAAATGAGACAATGACAGTTATGGAAATGTCAATAAAATCTTCAAACTATCCTATGTAACTATAATGTATACATATTATAGCTGTAAATATTGTGGTAGGTATCTTAGCCCATAATTTTTGCTTATGCACTTCCATGCACAGATGTGTCCCTCCTATTGAAAAGTATCCAAATATCATAAGGACACTTGCAAATCCAGTAATCAGTAGCCAGTATTTATTGATGATTTGGCGTATGTTTGCTAAACACATGCATAAGCCTTGAAGAAAGACTGTGTGAGGAGTCCTCAAATCAAGACATACAACCAACAGCTGCTTTGGGTTAAATCATTTCAGAGGTTTAAAACCATACTGGGGATTTGAGTGCTGTAGTACACTGAGTCACCAGTAAGGGGAACCCTTTTTGCAGTAAACCTTCAAGCTTTTACTGCTTTGATGGAGAGCATGGTCATAAAGATAATGTGACATTTTGGTTCCAAAAAAATTATGTTTAATCAGAAGGCGAACAGAGATAAGCAGTTTAAAATGAAATCTGAATTACAATTTCAAATTTACTTTTTTTTTTTAACTTCTCAATGAGATTGAATAGGAAATGTGAATGAACCTGCATAATGCAGGCATTAACCCTTACAGCAATGCTAAAGAAGAGGAAAGTTGATTTTGATGACAGGCTTTAAAACAATATGAATCAAACCACCCCAGAAAAGTGGCTGTCATCAGGCATTGTTTTAAGAGCAACAACAACTGGTTGATTTATTGCTTGAAATTGTCATCATAAATAAAATTCATCTGTGGCTGAGCCTTCTTACTCCAAAAATTCAATGTTGAAACTTAAGCACTAACATTCTAAATATTCTCAAAAGTTATAGTTTTCAGTAAGCATAAGGATGACTCTCAATACTGTAAATGCTGTAGAAAAACTCCTGAAACTATTTTAATTAATCTCTGTTGCTGTACAATTGCTGTTATGTTAGGAGAAAATTGGTATGCATGTGGATCTCTGTTCACATAATATCCAAAATCACTGTATCCGTAAATGGTCATAGGAGGTGTATTTTTATATTGCCCCAGCAGATAAATATGTCTTATTGGGGTGAATAGAAATTCAATACTTACTTGGCTAAATAACCTAACTATAGATTTTCTTACATCAAATGAGCAATTCTGGAACTGGTGTGATGGGCTGGTCTGAGGGAGCTCCTCTCCCTGTCCAGTGCATGCATTTCCATTACATTTAATTTGGAAGAATATATTTTGTCTAGTCAGATTTAATTTTTCACTACTAACTACCTAGTAACAAATTTTATGAAACCACTGAATGCAAAGATTCAATGGCACCCATAAAATCTGTAAATAAATACCACAGTAAATCTAACACAAAGTTTCTGCCATGCTTTCTCAAATGGCTTTCCCTCAAGACTGCTAATTAGCCTCTCTAACTTTGAATAGTCCACAAATGCACTATACTGATTGATAGTGCATCAATATTAATTAATAATTTACCACACTGTCAGAATTTTCCTCTACATGTAATCACAGCTCCAGTTCCTTCTAAACCTTTATTTCTTTAGCAAAAAAGAGGAGGAACATCAGTTTACTACTTTCACCCTATGTTGTTTAGTGTCCTCTTTGATTTGTCTGCAAGTATTTGGAAAAGTCTCTCTTAGATACTTCTGAAAATTCAGGTGGTTTATATAGTAATGTAGTTCCATTTCACAGAAGTGTGGTGGTGCTCCTAATAGGAGCTAGACATGCTTCATGTTTTATTTATATGCACAGTACATATTTTGCAGCACTTCACATATCTGTGCTCTGTTAGGAACTGAAAGTCTGGCTTTCAGATAGGGCCTCCATGGGCCATCCCACTCTAACCCAAGGATCAGCTGGGCACGAGCTCTGCAGCTCTGCCCCGGTGGCCAGGAGCTCATCAGAGGTGCAGTCCCACCAAAAGACAAATTGTTCAGAGTTTAGTTAGTACCCAGATTCACATAGGCATGTCTGAAGCAGCCCATAATTTTTATCACAATCAGAAATAATGTAGTTTGTTATTTGACATCAAATTCTTTGATGTCACTCCATTCTAATAAAACAACAGGTACTTCCTAGGTGGGATACAGTAGCCCAAATGCTTTAACTGCATTTTGACATTGATCATGGAGCACTTCCTAAAAACATCTCTCTTTCAGGGGAGTCTCTTTGTAAAACCATATAAACACTTTTGTAAAAAAAAAAAAAAAAAAAAAAAGGGATTCCCCAAAAAGTTACATTCAGGCCAATATCTGCTTTGTAATTATGAGGTCTTGACACAAGTAGAAAGCCAGACCTCTGAAAGACCCTGCAGATAATTTACATGAGAGAGTAGATTTCAGCTGGGTTTAGATGTAGTGTACGGTGCCTGTCATTCAACTAATCTTATCTGTGTAGTCCCTCTTTTGTGGAGAAGAGCTGAGGATTTGCAATTCATTCTTGTTGCAATTCATTCCTGTTGCAATTCATACTGCTCAAAGCTTATACAATCATTCTGTTTTCCAGGTGGCTGCCAGCACCTGTGATGTTACTGAAATGTCCCCAAAAGAAACTGCCTTGGCCCAAGACAATACGAGTCTGCAGGTTTTTGGTGGCAAGCTTGCATTGATTTTGGTTTTGCCACTTCTCTGTTTCCTGAATGAGAAACAGGTATATAATATTAGGCTCACCAATCAAATAACCTAGCACCGAACAAACCTTCCTTAGGGTATGCTTTCCAATTCTTAATTGTTTAAACATGACAGATGAAAGTGTTTGCTTTTAAGCGGCGTTCAAAATACATACATATATATTTAATTTACATTAATATTTTATCTTCAAGGACAACCTCTACAAAACACTACATCTAAACCCAGCTGAAATATGCTGGAGGGCAGTGATGCTGTTCTGAGGGACCTTGACAGGCTGAAGCAATGAGCTGACAGGGACCTCGTGGGTTTCAGTGAAGGCAAGTGCAGCATCTGGCAACTGGAACAAAATAATCCTATGCAACCATACAGACTGGTTGGAAGCAGTGTTGCCAGAAAAGACCTGAAGGTCTCAGTAGAAAAGAAGCTGAAAAGAAGACAGCTGCATGTTTATAAATGAGGCCAATACCGTCCTGTACTGTAATAGCAAGATTGTAGTTATACAGCCCAGGGCAGCGATTATTCCCACCATATCTTGGGTATTGTCTCCAGTTTGGCGCTTTCTGGCACAAAAGGGGTGTTGGTGTACTGGAACAAGTCCAACAGAGGCCACCAAGATGGCTTCTAGAGTACCTGAAGTACAAGCAGAGGCTAAGGGAAGTGGGCTTATTCAGCCTTAAGGAGGTGGAGGGGGGATCTTATTGCTGTCTGGGATGATCAGAGGCTGTAGAGAAGGCAGACTCTTCTCAGAGGTACACAGTGATATGACAAGAAACAACAAATGCAAGTTGTGACATGGGAAATTTTTATTAGATGTAAGAAAAAAGAATTCACTGTGAGGGTGGTTAAACACTGGAGCAGGGGCTCAGAGAGAAAAAGTCTTCATCCTTGGGTAAAGTCAAAATTTGACTGGACAAGGCCCTGAGAAGCCCCATCTAGTTGGACTTGTTTTGAGCAGGAGGCTGGATCAGATAACATCCCAGAGGTCCCCTCCAACCTAAACTCTTCTATGATTTGGTGATATTGCAACAAATTCCTTACTGTATTGACAGAATCAGTCAATATTACTCTGTTAGAGCCATTTACAAGGTGTTTTGTCAAAGATCTATCTGTCTCCATGCTATAGATTAATGATGTTTTCATCATCAGACTATGTCTTGTAGAGGAAGTAGCTATCTCTAAAATACAGTGTATTTTATAAAATGAGGATGGAAAAAATATAAGCCAAGAACAGCACCAGCTGATGTTAATTTTGCTAGAGACAGTGAGGATGAATTGGGCCTAAAATGTTTTTCTGATCAACACGGAACAGGACTCTGCAGTGAGAGCAATCCCATTGTCATTGCAAACATAATCAGAATTCAAGACTTTATCTTAAAATATCTATTTGATAAAGTCTGGGTATTGTAGGTTGACATGATATTTTATATGAGCTTTAAATTGTGTCAGAGATCTCTTCATGCATTTGTAGCATATCCCTGTAGAGATGTTAGTGTTGATACATCACAACACTTGCACGTTTGCATGTTGCAAAAGATGCTGTTTATTAGTGGCTACGTTTTTCCAATTAGCACAGTGCTGCATTTTTGTCTGCAGAAGGTGACTGACTTCCCCAGGACTGTGGGTTTCAACCAGGAAAGAGGAAGAGATCTATTACAAGTGTAAATTAGTGGTTAAGTCTCCTTTACCTCCTGGGATAACAACAGGCTGCTTCTGGGGCATACCTGGGATAACAACAGGCTGCTTCTGGGGCAAAGTAGTATAATTCACTACAGTGATACCATATGTATCAGACTGCTAAGCAGGAGTTTCTCCCTTGTATTTATTATGTCCCAATAGTGGGATATAATAGGATTTGATAAAAAGAAAAGTCTGTGACAGAAAATTCATTGATAGTTTCAGACTTCTCTGTATGCTCAAAGAAAGTTGTTTTTTTCCCCTCTTAACATTAATGTAAAATTTGTAATCTGCATAGGCAATAAAATCAAAAGATCACTTGGGTACAAGAATAAATGTAACATTTTTCTAATGTGTCTGTACCAAGATAACTGTCTTTAAAAGTTACTGGATTTTCTACCAAAAAGAAATATTCTGTTGGTTTTTGACAAAGGTAAAGTTTAGACCTTGTCATGCCATCTAGACTTTTATACTGTTAGAAACAGCCGTTCTAACATTTCTGCAAGTTCTCCCATGCAACTGAGGATTATTTTTTTTTTTTCAATCAAATATAGGAAGGTCATACAAAAGACCTGAGCTACGCAAAGATACCTTCTTATACTGACAGTAGCTAGAATGGAGTGAATGAAGCACCTGTGTCAAGTCCACCTGGTTCTCACAGCCTTTCCAGGTAGGAGGGACTGTTTCCTATTTATACATACATGGAAATATCTAAAGACATCTGTAGATTTTCTGTTCCATACCAGTCTAGAAGCACCATAACAGGTAGCCTTGCTCATCCCAAGGTTCTGTTCTGAAGGATTACTCACATAAATAGGACTGATCTTGGCCAAAATACTTGTGTGCTGGTCTCCACAAAGCCTGGCCAAGCAACATTGAAGCTTAAAACTGGTTTAAGAGGAGTTTAGGTTATTTGCTAAGATTGACCTATATGAATAATCAAGTCTGGTATTTTTACTGATTGGGCTCCCTACAGACTACATGAGGACAGAGATCTCCACAGAAAACAATATGTAAACAGAATATATATCATAACTCAGTGAATGCAAACTTTCCTGGCACCTCCTATTCAGATTTATCATGGAATATACTGTCTGACTCCTGCCACAGCAAGAGCTACAAATTAATTTGGTGTTGGCCAAAAGGCATTTCCTCTCCTCTTTATTAAGGCTGCTGTGGTTTAGTTTAGTGTACGTCTAGGGAAACAAAGATATAAATGGGAGCATTTGATTACCTCCTCTGACTCCTCATCTTTGTTTTCTGGATCTTTTTCCTGATGTGTCTTTGTTATAGTGGTCCAGTAGGCAGGTTACTTGAATGGGGTGATGGGAAGACTGTGTGAGTGACAGCTCAGCACCATACTGAATGGAGTTGAAACAACATATAGGTTGGTCTAGATGAGTCAGTGTACAAACTGACAACAGACTGTGGGATGTATTTGGTGTATGGCCTTTGATATGTTAAGCTACAGTATAGGGTTTCCATGCCAGTGAAATATCTAGTCAGTATTCCCCGCAGTGGGACACAAGACGTTCGTTCTCAGGAATGTGTATTTTTGCTGCTGCATACCAAGGCTGTTCTGCATAATGTGATCTTTTTACAAAAAGGAAGGGGAAGTATCAGAAACACACCCCTGGCAGTGATCCCCAGGGCCAGGCTCAGAACATAGGAGGGTAACAGCGAGCGCCACCGTCACAGCTCATGGGAAGTTAAAAGCACTTCTTTCTTTGTTCTCTTTGGATTATTGGGTCAGTAATATGCAAAGGTTATGTTGAGCTTCTAGTAAGTAGTTGCCCACAGGAAAGTCGTGGCTTTTTTTAATGGTTTCTCTGGTGCCAAATGCTAATTGCGAGACTGTACATTGTTCCTTTCATCTTCAGGATATCCCAGCATTTGCAAAGCAGCAGGTTAGATACTGTGTTCATGGACAAAGGGCTCAGGCACTGTGCACTCCCCAGACCTGGGAGCAGTTTGCGTTTCGTGGAGCTGAAATGTCGGTCAGGCCTTGAAATAGTCCCACGTTTCAGTTCCTTCCAGGAGTCCTCTCTGGGGAAAACCCTTAAGTAGTTCCCTGCTCTGGGTGAGAATTCACGGAGACCTGCCTGCGCAGCCCCCGCAGGCACGCAGGCATTTCAGCCCCACGCATCCCCTCGCAGCGCTCGCAGCCTTTGGGGGGGCAGACACAGCACGGGGATCCATCCATCCGTGGAGCCGTGTGTCTCCCTTCATGTCAGAGCCACGTTCCCACTCACCCTGCATCCCCGCTCTGCCTGCCTCCCCCTGTGCCCTTTGTGCTGCCTCCCTGCTCCCTCCCCTGCAGCAGATGTGTCCCACATCTCCCCTGCCTCTGCCAGTGGCACGGCAAAATTGATCTGGCTCCGCAGCTCTGAAATACCAGCAAGGGATGGGGAGGCCAGTCAGTTTGATTTCTGCTGCTGAGCTGATGGGGAAACAAAATGGAGGGGTGCGATGGGAGAGGGAGAGCGCAGGAGGTGTTGGAGGAGGGCTAACGTCGAGAGTGAGGGGATGGAGAAAAAGCAGACAGCAGAAGGAAGGAGCTGTGAGAGATGGGGAGAGAGTGTAACAGCAGTAGTGGGAAGAAATCAGAGCGTGAATAAAAATTCCTTTGTTAATTGCGCAGGAGGTGGCGGGTGATATCCAACAGGAAATGGTATAAGTGGCTTTGTGGCAAGAGTAAGGGGAATAATTAATGGGGATTTTTTGTGAAATAGGAAGAGGAAAACTGACCTGCTCTAAACAAAGCAGGGAAAAGTGGGAGGTATGGCTATTTCACAGAGTTCAAGTTTTCCTCATAGATCTGTCAGCAAGGGCTATTTCGTACTTGGCAACATCAGCAGTATCAAACCTGAGAGTTTAAAAATCACAACTCTAGCTCTCTCCAGACAATGAAATTTTCTTTAAAGTACTAGATTTTGGCTTCTCTTCATATGTTTTGGGTGCCTTATACTTGAACTCTGTTTTCGTGGGACTAAACAATAATGTAAAAAATTACCTGTGTTCTTCAACAAATCACTGGAATTTGAGAACTGAAGCTTTATAAATTCACCACAACTGGTAACAAAATCATATGAGTTAGTATTTCACTGGAGTGTGACTAACACTGACGTATTAAATTAGATGAGAACTCCTGTGGTCCAGGAGCATTTTATCATCTACATATTTGATGGCACACTGAAGTGGGTCTGTTTCCTATTTAATCTGATTCTTGCTACAAGGATGACTGGTGGTGCCAGAGGATTTAGCAGCTTCTCTCCTTGAGCAGGAGTGGCAGTGAGCTAAGACTGAGGAGGAGTGCCACAGAAGTAAGACCATGAGTGGGTGAAGGGATAGACTCACACGATAGCCATGGCCTGGATGGAAAGTAATACTGCTTTCCCAATCTATCTTTGAAGCGTGGTATGGCAGTGGTACCTATAGTGTGTTTTGACATTAACAGGGTAACATTCCCAAGACATTAATCTGCAGTTGTATTTTGATTTCGTGACATCTGTTAATAACAGAGTGACTGTCCAGCTCTCCAAGGTTAAGTACCCTCACGCTAGAATACCTCATTATCATCAGTATTAAGATACCTTTATCCTGCAGATGTTCCTAAAATATCAAGGTGAACAAGTAAAACAAGAGGTAAACCATAAATTCAAGGGTGGTCTTTAACAGCAATCATCAGCTTTTGCTCACTGGTGAAACTTCAACTGAATGTCATTTTATTGGTAGCTATGTATGTAAGGTTCTAGCTACTAGTGTTACTGCATACCTGGGAGACCATACAAAAAAATCCTTAGTTTAGACAGCTCTTTCTACTGTAGATGTGAAAGGCTTCATCAAGTATAAAATGCCGATGAAGGATCCCTTTTTTTTAACACTTGGACTAGGTTATTTGTCATGATAAATCTCATTTCTGGACAAGATAGAGACTGATTGGAGACACACGCATAAATAATGGCAGGAGTGAAAGACCTGTAGAAACTTTTCTGCAGCCTCTTCTCCATGTGAGGGGATAATTTTTCTGAGACAGACACCTAGCAGCACGGACATTTAAAAGTAAAACATAGTGGAAACCCCACCCAAACCATATGCTCCCCTACATACACACTTCCTCAAGAGAGGAGAATGAAGCAAAGATGATGGATGTTAGTCTTGTCAGTTAATGTGCTACTCAATGGAGTTTAGATGCTATGGGGATGAAAGCAGTTTAAGAGCTTCTATAGACTATGAAAGAATAATTCTATCACTGCCAAAGCATGTAACACCTGCTCATGCAGGGGTTCTGACATCAGAAAGAAATTTTCAGGAAGGTCATACAAAAGCTTCACATTAGGGGAGCTCAGATATGATGATTAAAAAAAATCATGATAAAAGCACATTAAATGGAAAACCACAATAAAAATTGACTATTGTGATGAAAGTTAGGTAGAAATTATGCCCATTAATCTTCCTCAAATGAAGAAAGAAATGACCTAGCTGACATCAAACACCTTATTAGAGTAAGCCATCTTTAATTAGTTAATGGAAATCAACTTACAATGTGTTTATTGGTCCGTTCCTTATTTACTAATATTCATGGACTTGAGCCTGTGAGCTGATTTTTTATGAGATAGTGATGCCTGGTACCAGTAATTACAGAGGAAAAAAGACCAACCTTTCCCATTTGCTGTAGTAGCCAGTGAGGATCCTCAGCGTTGTTAGGATGGAGTCCTTCTCTGATGGACTCTTTGGAGAGACTCTGCTGGAAATGGAGCAGATAGTGGGTTTTTTTTTCCATTTTGTTTGTCCTTTTGTTTTTAACACTCCCTATATATATATCACAGTTCATAGATGAGAAGATTTTTCTGCCATGTGTAAAGTTTAGATTCAGTTCCCTCTTCCCCTTCCTTATCTGAATCATTCAAAATCTATGTATTTTTTTAAAAAGACCACATGAGCCCGCTCTCCTCACTGTTTCCAATGGAGGTAGGTGGCCCTTACTCAGCATGCTGATGCTAGAGGTCCCATCTGGAGGTGGCTGACTCTCATTTGCCATTCCAGACATCAAAGTCCTACATATGGGTTTGAGGTACTAGGTCACAGCCCATGAAAGAAACTCCTCAGTGTCATTCTTTTTTGGTTCTAGCCCTATTCCTCTGGACGTTCAAATATCCTCATTGTCAGTGCAAAACTCTTAAGTCCGTTTCAAATTACACAGGAAGATGACCATTTCATTAAACATTTCAGTGAGATTTATAGAGAGCCCTAAATGCACTTTGTGACTGATACAGGACACTAATTCCCCTAGGTTTTGTTTTTAGAAAAGCTTACACTGTTATTACTGCTCTGGTCAAAGGTTACGCTTCCTGCTCTCCATCAATGCAAGCGGCATGTAAGTGTTTTCAGATATTAGTCAGATTACCTTTTTCCAAGAACCATGCTACTGAGAATCCATCTGTAACAGTTAGAAAAGTTACAGCTGTATCAAGATGATGTGTCACAGTCTTCCTAGTAGTTGGGACTAACCATATACTTTCATAGTTGGAGAAATTGTGGTAGTCTTTTTAATGTACCTCTTCTACTCATACCATTATCATTAATCATCCTACAGGTAGCCCATATCACAAATTTTAGAAAATTGTGTAGCAATAACCACCATTAACAAGACCTACAAAATAAGCAAAA